ATTTCTTTCTCACTGCTGACCTGCCCAAAGGATGCTGCTTCGCTTGCAGTGCCCCAGCGCAGCTTCTGAGTGCTGCCCTGGAGGATTTCGGTGCTCTGATGCTACAGGGTGTTCATTTCCACCCTGATGATTCTGAGGCAGTGTAAAATTGGGGTGAAGTGTTAAGGTCAGCTAGCCCTGAGATACCAGCTGAAGCAAGTCTCCTTGACCTCCCTCCACGAAGATTAGCCAGCACCTCTTCTGAAAATGAAGAAAATGGGATGGAAATTACATGGTTTTCAGCAACATGTAGAAAACTGACACTCTTACTGCAAACAGAAATAGGATCACAAAGGTTTACCTATGGGTAGTCATTTAAAATTTATGATGTCACTTTTCAAAGGATTTTTTTTAATCATCTCTTAGTCTTTATTTCTTTGTGTTGTGAAATGCTGTTATTCATAGTGAGGTTGCGAAAGTGAAGCTAGTCAAGATTTAAGGATATTTCTAATGCAGCATTGAATTGGAAGCAAAATTCAGCAGAGTTAACTTGGACCACATATTCTAACCACTAAATCATAAATACTTTGTTACATCACAGAGGCTATTTCAGCAATGTAGAATAGAACAATGTTTTATATTTTTAAATGTTTGTGAATTTCTTTTCTAACGAATTTGAAGAGTTGAATGACTGGCTGGGATTTTTAGAATGAATATAGTTATCAATGACCAAAAAAACCACCCAGCAAAATTGTATGACAGCAAGGAAAAATAATTTTAAAAAACCCTAAGGAAGGAAAACAGAGGTAATAAGGAGCTCCTGGTATGAGGAGTGTTGTGATGTACTACAATTATTTTTCTTGCTTGGGAATGACAGTGACAAGCAATGGCTTGGAACTAAGAGCATTGCCACAAAATACTTGGGAGAGAAATTCACTCTTGTTTCAGGAGTTCATTGTAGGTTCTGCTGAAGAAGAGGATGGGATGGGATGGGATGGGATGGGATGGGATGGGATGGGATAGGATAGTTCAGTTGGAAGGGACCTACAGTGGCTGTCTAGTCCAGCTGCCTGACCAACATCAGAAAACAGAAGAAAATTAGTTATCTTATCTGAAAAAGAGACTGAGCTTTTGAACCCTGTTGTGATCAAGGACTTTGTGTAGCTCTCAGATATTTTTGTAGCCTTTTTCTGGTTCGCTTCTAATTTGTCAGCATTGGTATTAAACCACTGGTTAGCAACACTGGAAGCCATATTCCAGTATCAGTATAACCAGGGATGTATGAAAAATAAATTTGCTCCTTAATCTAATTTGCCATATCCTTTTCCTAATATAAGAACAGCAGTACAATAAAAGCTCAAATTGCTTATCCACTGTGACCACTAATAATCCTGTCCCTATTCTCCAGAATGTTGTTTCCCCATATTTCACTGCAGATGGAATAGCATTTTATTTCATGTGTAACTTCACATTTGCTTATATTGAAATATCTTTTTGAACTAGTGAACTTGCCAAACAACACTCCACGCTACTTTTTATAACTGCCTGTGTCTCTTCATTATTTAGTTCCCCTCCTTCCTGATTTCACCAGCAAATGTAATTACCAGTAATCTTACATTTATTTTTGAAGACCAGTGAAGTTTTCAGTCATGTCAGACTTGGTAATGATGGCTAAGAAGTCCCAGTAGTAAGCACCCTTACTGAATCATACATCTCTGAAAAACAATTTTTTAATTTTATGTTGTTTAACATTTGCGTTTAAACTGTTTTTATTTGTATTTTATAATGCATTTCAAAAGTCGGAACATTTTCACAGTTATCTGTGTCAGCTTAACTGGTAATCTCATCAAAAAGTGAAACCAGATTTCTTTACCAAGATCTAATTTTCAGTAAACCCACGTGAACTAATTTTTTATCAGTTTAGTTTTGTTATTTTTTTCCATTATGTCTTCCAACACACTGGTTTGGGTTTTCAGTGTGGATGCAACGGCAGCACTCAGCTAGCTTCTCTAAGTTGCAAAATATTCCTAGACTCAATTAGAAATTAATATGCTGATATCCAGGCCTTTTGGAACTCATGGCCACGTTGTCCAGGTTTCTTTATTTAAAAAAAAAAAAAAAATCACAATTTTTCAGCTGGCACTTTACACTTACTGAGGGGAATTATCTGATTGGGTGTAGTTATCATGCTTCCTTCTCAGTGTAAAAGAAATAGCGAAGGTTTCTGTCATTTTTGCATCGCTAATAACTATTTTACTGACCTTTAGGTAGATACTGCTATTATTATTAGAATTTCTTTTGTGTTAAAAAAAAAAAAATCTTGTCTTTAATGAATGTGGATTTTTCTTACCTATATTTGGCAATCTTCCATACTCCCAATTTTTTACTGCTTGTTGTGTGCCCTGCCTCGGTTTTTATGTTTGTTGCATGTTGTTTTTCTAATTGTCCCTTTCAGCAGTTGTCTTTAATAAATATAAACAGGCTCTTCATTCAAAAATTCTTTTTAAAATATGGTAAATAAGATCAGAAACTTTATTTTTTATTTTTCTAACAAACTTTTAAAAGTAATCCCCAATTTTCACTTAAAAAACTCAGTTTGGGAAAAGAACTCTCTTTAACCATCAAATATAAATGTAACCATTTATGATTTACTTCCCTTTTTAGGCCATAGTAGTTGACTAGGTCACTGGTCCTCTGCAGCTTCCAACTGGCAGTTTGGTTATCGATTTATCTTTATGTGTTATGCTAAGATGAAACTAGAGTTCCTTAATGTTGAATGCAGTACCCACTTATATTTAAAAAAAAAAAAAAAAAAAGAGAGAGAAATTATCATCTGTAGCTTCTAAAATCTCAAGTAATTTACTGTAGTCTGCCAGGAGTCCTATAGAATGTCTGTCTTCAAATACTGGAGTATTTTTGTTATTTCTTCTACATTGCAATGAAATGGATGATGAAGGTTGACTGGTTCTGCAACAAAACTAAGCGAATATGTTCCTTTCCCTGGGCCTTTTTCATTATCACAGTGATCCATCTGTATGTACCCTAGGATTTGAGGATCTGAGCACTGCAAAACAAAGAAACATTTTTCATGTTTATTAGTCGTATTTTACTACTAGACCAGATAATACACTTGGCCCTTTCTCTGTGTATCAGTACTTTGAATTAAGATGGATCTTAGCAACTGGGTGTGAATTGTTCACATGTTTTTATGTCATTTTTATGTAGTAAAACTACTTGATTTAGCATAAAAAAATGCTCCTATTTTCAGAAAATCTAATTGCCATCTGTTTTAAACGCCCCAAAAAAATTAATTCCTACCCTGAGATGTTACAATTTTTGTCTGTCATTTAACTTACCAAATTCAAAGCAGTTTAAAAAATTAGGGGATCAAATCCTCTTTCATAGCTCCATGTTTGCGTTCATTGAAATACTTAATTCTGGTTTTGTGAGTAAACTACGTTTCTTTGTTTAGTTACTGGCCAGCACTCTACATTTTACTGCAGTCAGATCTGTATTCTGACTAGCTGACTGCTGTATTTATAGTACCACAGGATATGGAAGTTTCATATAATTTAATTTCAGCTCCAGAATATGTCTTGGTGTCTAAATCTTCTTTTTAGTTTTGTATATACGTATTGTTTATATCAAGTTTTGTACCTTTTTCTATGTGAAAATACCCTTAGAACAAAGATTAACAACTTTCCAATATGGGAGTCTGCTCCAGCCCCACACACCATACTTTCTATGTGTCATCTTCGGCATCTACAGAGAAAGAGGTTTTGTAGTAGCCTGGGAGAGTCAAGACTTGAGTTATTTTGGACCCTGCTTCCGAAGGGTGTTCCAAAGCTCCACACCTGTTAACCATTCCTTCCATAGAAAAAATGCAGCGAAGGTGCTGTTTTTCGGACACAAAAAACTGAAATTATTTGAGACGCGTGAATGGGGGGAGGCCCCAAACCGTACAGGGATGTGCAGACAGGCAAATATTGCCTGTCTTGGGACACTGACAACAGTGTGGTCTCTGGCAAGAAACGCCACTCCCTGAACTGCAGCATGCCAGCAGACTTATAAATATATACTGATTTAACAGCAGTTGTGTGTTTAACAAACGTCAGGAGTAATGCACTTGCAGAAGCTCTGCGCTACCACGCAGAATTACTGCAGTGATGTGCAAGAAGCAGCTTGTTCTTCGAGTACAGTTTGCTAAGGAATAATTTCACACTCTTTACAAATGTCTTTCATTTTACCTTTAAATGCGTGCATCAAATTAAACCTTTAAGATAATAATAGATTAAAGAATCCCTAAGTTTTAAGAAGTTTTTGTGCGTGGGACAGCTTCCTCAACTGTCACCTTTATGCTGGGGATTAAAATTATGGAGGTTAGTTTAGTTCTGTGCAATTCAGAAAGGAAAAGATTGGAATACTGTTAAGGAGATTCTCATGCTTCTAGATGAGGAATTTGTTTTACTTTTTAAACATCACCATTGCATTTGTATTTAAGAAAACTTGTATTTCTTTTGTTTGCTTAGTGTGGAATGATAGTCTGAAAATTGTCATTTTTGCATGATCTGTGTGTAAGTTTGCTTACAAGGAAGATAATCAGCTATTTGGCAAAAGGAGCTCTCCAGGCAGTGGAGGGAAAGAACTGAATAAGTGAGATGTTTTAATTCGTGGCCTCCAATGAAACATGGGCCAAAAGCTTTGAGAATTTAGTTTTTTAAATTAATATTTTTTTCCTCTGTGTTTGTTTCAGTAAGGAGGGGTGTATCATTTGTATATTAATTGGTAATCACAAGACATTCAATTTTGGAGTTGTTGGGTAGGTAAAAAGCAGCCATTGTGGTTGGATGTTTCCTCAAGCACATAGGAGCCAAGAAAGTTAAAATAATGTTGGAACTGAAAAATCACTTGTCTCAGGTTTTTTTGCTGCCAAATTGATTGTTCGTATCACAAATAGGCTGTGGTGGTAGCTAAGTTAGGAAAAGTTAGTTATTGCAAATTTTATTCTGAAATGGGGCAACTCAGCTAATAATTATATTGGGAATTTTTGGTTTAGGTTCCTAAGATTTTATTAAAAATACATTTTAATAATGCTCAATTCATCAAGGATTTTAATACTTTTAAAGGGACCGCTGTTAAGATTTCTGTGCTTGAAATCTTCCACCTTGTTTCCAGAACTTGTATGTCATTCAGACACATCTGAGCAAATGAATTATTTTTGTGTTTGTTTAAAAATATTAATAGCAAATTACTTCATTATCATGATGAGTTTAGTGCAGCGTACATATACCTGATACATGCTTGTGTTAAAGGCAGGAGACCATATATGTGAGGGGGTATGTTTTGCTTAGTACCAAAAACTTAATTTGTTTCCTAATAGTAGGGGATTGGATCTTAAAGAAAAATACAAAGGTTCATTTTCATAATTCTCTGCATCACCAGGCTTTACAGATGCCTGGGTTAGTAAACATTTGATTGCACAAAAACAGTCAATAATGGTACTAAGTATTTCATTTCAGTCTGGTCTGCAGATATTGTGTCACTTGCATCGAAACTTTTATATCTGTGGAAGGGCATTCAGTAAATCTTTGGTACAGAAAACACAACTTGAAGCTTTTTCTTTGGTTTTGCAGCGTTCCTGTTCCGGTAGTCAGTCTAGAGAAAATTCCTAACCTAGTGAAGGCAGATGGTGCCAATGTTAAAATGAATTCTGCAACCACTACCACTGTCACCTCCTCCTCAGCCTCTTCATCCACCATACCTGCTCCAACTTTGGTTAAATCTGGTTTGACATCCAAATCAGTGCCACCGTCACCAGAAAAGATTCTGAATGGCAAAGGAATTATAGCTCCATCAATAGACAAGAAACACCAAAATGGCACTAAAAGCAGTAACAAGCCTTACAAAAGACTTTCAGGTAAGTGATGTTGTAATCCATCTTTTGAGGTAATCTGTCTTTCTTCATTAATATTTCTATAGGTCAGGAATAATGTGCTAATAAAATACTGTAGCCTGGTTTAGGTTTGATTTTTTTACTCTAGGATGCCGCTTTGCATATATGAATAAGACAGCTTTCACACTCTTAGCATGTGTAAAATATTTTCAAAGTACACATTCTGTTTAGCTTGAAATTGGTGTTTAATGTGTTTCTCAACTGGTCAACAGGCCAAATACAAATTTTTAAGGAAGTAAATTCATTAAAACAGAAAGGCAGAAGGCTTTCTCAAGCCTTCTGTAATATAATTTGGGCCTGTTTGTGACAAAAGAAAACGTGCCTTGGTTGGGTGACTTGAGTATCGTCATGATCAAGCTGAACAGTTGAGGTTTAAGACATTGGATTATCCACCAAGTTATGATTTTTTAAAGAATCTTCTTTCTTGGTTTTCAATACTAGAATATTCTAAGTAGATATGGGAAATGCTGGGGAAGTCTTAAAAGCCGTAATTCCCTTCCACCCCTCTCCCCCTGTGATTCACACGTGACTGAAGACATTTGTAGCGTGGGGATCTCACTGACGGGTCAGTGGGGTTGAGGGAGTGCCATTAAATGAGGAAATGCCCCGGATGTCCTTGGACAGGGCAGCATTGATGTACTTTAGAAAATGGAATCATCTTCTGAGCAAGAACACCGGGACAACAGTATTGAGGATGTACGTCCACGTGCAAATCTGCCACCAAAGCACCGAGCCCTCCATCGTGGGAGGGCAGCAGCTCAGTTACAAAGGTTGCCATCCATTGGGAGGAAGAATTATTTTCTGTGGAGTTCCCCAGAGGTGGCCCATGCCAGCTGTTGGGCAGCGAGTAGAGAATTTGCCCCCTAAAGCTGAAAACATATTTTTTTTCTGAATGAAAGGAAACAAAGTGGTTTTAGGGATTTTATTTTTTTTTTTTTTTAAGTAACTGACTCAAGTTTACAGCTTCAGAAGCTGTGCAGGGTCTATTCATCAGCTGGCAGTACTTTGTGATTTGGTCAGGAACTTCTTGTGTGTACTGAAAGACTAATTTTGCTAATGGCAGCGTGATCCACGTTAGATCGTCAGTTTGGCAGAAAGTTAGTTCACATAATTTCTAAATGTGCACTAGTTATGAACCAAGTAGAAGTTGTACAAGATAAATGCTTTCATTTCCAGTTAATGCGTGTGCCCTGATTTTTGACTGAATATCAGGTTTATTTTTTTTATTTTCTCAAATTTGGCAGTTAGCCTGTGGTACTGCTACCTTGGCTTGATTCCAGACCAGTGCGAGGTGTTTGCTAGGGCTGTGTGGGGTATGGAACAATGCCATCGCCTTAAAGGATTCAGTATGCTGATTGCTTTTTTAACTAGTGGCATATAAGAAAACAGAACTGTCGTTCATTGTAGTGTTCCACAAAATGAAAAAAATGTTAAGAGAAAGTAGCTGATTAGGCTTTTAAACCTTACATTTCACTTGCTAAGATCCAATTTGTTATTGTAATAAAAACTGTCTCTATTTTCCAGTTAATTTAAAATAATAGTTTCTTTTAAACCATAATTTCCTTTAATGGTTTAAGTGCTTAATTTAGCTAATCAATTCTGAATTCCTACTCGGGCAATTGAAACTGATACTTTTTGAGATACTTGTTTTCTTCATGTCACCGCATACCACCTCAGGGCTGTAGGTGATACTTGTACCTTTTTTTGTATGAGAGTTGGCTGAAATTTTTTGTAAGGAGAGTCATTTCTGTAGGGCCTTCCTTTAGCTTGCTTGCTTTTTCTTTGGAGGTGACTCCATCACTATTCTGTCTCTAAGCTGTCACTCAGTGTCTTCTAGACTAGGGAGCACTTCACTGCTGAAAGTTTCCAAACAGGCTGGGTCTCTGCACAGGACTGTTTTGAGCACTCCAATAGGCATTAGTTTACTTTTAGATGGCTAACAAATCCACAGAAATTAGACTTTTTTTTTTTTTTTTTTTAAAGCTCCTCTGTCAATATCAGATTTAGAATCTGTTCAGTCTTGCTTCTACTGCCTCATGTGTTGATGCAGGAACACAATAATTTTGCAATGATGCAAATAGGAGAAGTCCTGAGAGCGTTGTAGATGAAAGGCCTGCAGATTGGGTGTCACTATGATGGATTCCTCTCCATTATTATACAGAACTGTGAAAGGCTGAGAAAAAGATCTTGGAAGGTCAATGAGATGATTATTTTAGGTATCCCATAAATTTCATTCATTTCACATTAAAAGAATGAGATGATGGCTAGAGGACTTAGGTTTCCCTCAGTCTGCTGCTGTGGAACTGTAGAGCTGTTAATTTTTGAAGCTCCTTGATAGGTCTGGCTGGGTTACATCTGTTTTCTTTCCTATTTAGCAACCTCCACTCTCTCTCACACCATTTCCCCAACTGTGGCTGAAATTTGGGGTTTTTTTCTTTGCTGAGAGCTAGTCGTTGTTTGGGTGATGAATGAACCTGCCCTCTTTTCAGGAGGGCTGTTGTTGGTGAGAGGGAGGAAGCAGCTCGTGGAACCACAAAAGACAGTGTGTAGCTGCCCAGCATAAGTGGATCAGCGTTCCCTAGTAGCAAACTGCAAAAAAAACCACCTTTTTTTCTAAGTCTTCCTTAGTTGTGATTCTCTTTGGGGTGAAGTTAAAGAATGCAGATGCCCAGTTTAAACCAAGCATATCTGTTGTGTTGCAAACAGGAGTTTGTAAAAGTTCGGGTTTGACCCTTCCTCTTATAATGAGTGTCCTTTACTCCATCCACCAAATGTGAAGGGGAATCCATTCTGGAGGAACAGCCTTCTCAAGCTGTGCCTGTGCACCGGAGTCTAGGGCTTCTCACACTACACAGTTCCTAATACAGAGGTAGTCAGAAGCTGCTTTTCATTATTGATAAGAAGGTGATAATCTTCATGCAATGTGTTGCCCAAACCAGGCACGTCTGTAGCTGGCAGTTAGATGTTCAGGACTTCTCTGGAACAGCCACACACGCTTCGTCCGGGAGAAGTGGTTCCCCATTTGTGTAGTATTTTCTGTTTCTTGGGAAAAGCGTGTTATTTTGTTGGTCAGTAGATGGTGGAGGCTTCCACTTTTTATGACTATAATTCACTATGTGGATTTTACCTCTATATGGTTTCCTAAAAACTGGCATTTTATAATCAGCCCTGCAAGTCTTGCTTGGTTGGGACACTCTTACTGACAAGTTGCAATCCAGATGCTCCCAAAGGGAACACTTCTGATTTTTTTGAAGTAGGTTTCCGTGTTGGTCCAAAACAGTCCTTGGTTGGTGACTTTCAGAACACATTCCACAGCCCTATGATTACCCTCGGGACTTTTTTTATTTGAAGCTATATTTATAAGTCCATATAGTCTATTTAGTTTCTTTTTTTTGTTGTTTTAATTTGTGTTAAAGGGTTTTAGGTGGGTGATTTAGGAAACTGTGATAGAAACATCATACGCTTAAAACCAAGAGTAATTAAGTCCTTTAGCACATGAGCATGCATTTTCATCTATTAACTAGAAAAAAATGTTTATAATAGTCATACACAGATACTTTTCTGTTTCTGTTGTGCTGTAAAGGCCACAGAAACCACAACTACTCCTGACAGATTTCAGTCCCTGTGTAGATTTCACCAAAAAAAATAGTTCTGACTATTTTTTCCAAGCTCGCTTTTTGGGATGTCTCTGCTAATAGGTTAATAACATAACCATTTATTTAATGTTTGCTTTATCATTTTTAAGTCCATATAGCAGAATACGTAAAACTGCTAGTAATCATGGTATCTGGATGACAGTTGTCCTCTAACTTAGGCTACTTGGTCTCACGTTTCTTCTTCCAGCTGTTCTTGCTGTGGTGCTGTCATAACATTGTAACATAGCTGTGAATTGCTGTCTTCATCTTAGCTCTGATTTGTTTGTTTATAAAGAATTTTTAGATCCTCAGTCTAAATGTTGTAGTTGAGTACAGGATGTTTATTATATCTGAATGTAACAGCACTGTATAGTTAAAATAGGCTTTAGCAAATAGTTTATATTCCACTATCAAACAAAAGCAAACCAGTCTGCCAATTAAAACATATGATGTCAAGGTATATACAGATAATGGTAGATTTTTTTTGGCTGCATAAACTAAAAAGTGTATGTCCTTAGTTTTGTTACAGCTCTGTAGTGCAAACCCTAAACTTGTATTAACGTAACTTAAAGGAGGTGATGCTATTTGTGGTATATAAATACTAAAATATTAATGAAAATGAAATATGCAAATACAGCGTATTCAATATTAATGCACTTTTAATGTTAATCATGAGTAGAACTCATGTAAATGCCTTTTTTTCATAATGTCTGCAAACTTTTAACTCCATGCCTCCCGTCGCTTAGGGAAATAAGAACTAACATACATGTTGGTTTTACACAGATTTAAGGGACAGATTTAGATAAATTTTGTTTTTAAAATGCCACTAGTAATGTTGCATTTACTTTTGAGACACATGTGTTGTTTTTCAGAGTGTCTGAGTATGTCAAAGAAATGTTGTTCAAAGTTCTTGGGATACTTGGTCTGTATGCGTCTTAGCCAAACTCAGAAGCCAGATTTGTAACTGCTGTATTTCACGGCCCCAGAGGCAGTCAGTGATAGAGGGGGAACTGAACTCGTGGGTATTTGGCTTGGTCCTTTGTTTGGGCCACTCTGCTCAGCACAGCTCTGTAAGCAGACTTACTTTGAAGTCTGTGACTGAAATCCTGCGCTAAATAGTTTGAAACATGTAAGGACAAAAAAAAAGAAAAGCACAACTGTATGAGAGATGCGCATGGCACTATTATGGTGTGTTGGGGGGGATCAGTGGTTCAGGTTGAGCCTGGCTGAATTAAGTTGTATTAGGCAAAAAATACAGCTACTCTGGTTAAAATTTCTGTAATAATCTATTTTTTTTCCTTTTTCTACCCACCCTCCTGTCAAACAGAAAGAGAATTTGACCCAAATAAACACTGTGGAGTACTGGATCCTGAAACAAAGAAACCTTGCACAAGATCGCTCACCTGCAAGGTATTTTTCTTAGAAGATAAAATATCAGATGCTTTGTTATAGTTTAAATCCTACCACAGTAGTCTGAGAGGTCATACCTGCTCCTGTCTTACAGACAATGGGTATGGTATTCAGACGCTGTCTTCAGGTAATTCTTTTGAGTAATTCTGTTTCTTTGAATCAGAGCATCTGCATTATTCCACTGATATTTCTAAAAAGATTTTTTTTTTTTCTTGTCATTTTGTTATGCAAAAAGCATTAACGTTTCATGTAGAAGCACAAGCGTTATTTTAAATGCTGCTTTTTTGGTCCATGTGTGCAACAATGTTGAAGTATCGTCAGTTTTTAGTAAAAAATTAACATGATTTTTGTATAATAATTTACTTGGAGGCTGCCCTTGTGATATTAATAAGTCTCATGTCAAAAAGTAGCAGCAGTGTAAGACATTTATAATGGTCATTTGTATGTGTATGTGCTGCCTGTCAGTAGAGATGATCAGTTAAATTAGCTTTAAAATGCATTCCCATTTTTCAGTCCAATGAAATCAATTTTTCATTGTAAGTAAAGAGTTACAATGATGTTACTTCTTAATATTTTAAAATTATTGGGATTATATTTTCTGTCTTGGTAAAGGTAAGTCAATAGACTCTATTTCATGAAAATTGTTGCAAAAAGTAATTGTAGCCTTGATGTTGGCATTTCTTAAGAATTACTTCATAAATTATCAAAGATGGTATGGAATAACAGCTTTATTTCCATAACTGTGGCTAAAGTTGTTTGAAGTAGATTTTATCTTTTAGAGTTGTGGTGTATCGGAAGTATAGAGGACTCATAAACAATGTCATGCACACACAAATGCTTTTTAACCACCCTATTTTTAGACTCATTCACTTAATCATCGACGAGCAGTTCCAGGCCGTAAAAAACAGTTTGACATCCTTCTAGCTGAACACAAAGCTCGATCCAGGGAAAAAGAAGTTGCAAAAGACAAAGAGCACCCACCATCTGCAAGGGAAAGCTATCAGAGCCAGCCCACACCAGCACAAGACTCGCTGTCAGGATCTTCAGTGAACTCTGGGCAAGAATCTAAAGTAACATCTCCTGCAAAATCTAGGCCGCCAAATTCTGTACTTCCAAGGTAAGCAATTCTCCAGTATGGAATGTTGCGTTCTGAAGGTGCTGTAAGAAATGTCGTAATCTTTCATACAACTAATTTTATAAGCATTTGGTATATTTGGTAAAACATATCAATATAAGAGTTTCTCTTAGCAGTAGAAAATAGACTACGTTTATATTAACCTAAAGCTGACCATGGTAGCCTGTGATCTGATAGGGAATGGGGTGAGGAGTCACGTCCACGCTCTGATCGGAATCTCAGACTAACGGCGTTTTTTTTCTAAAATGGTCGGTAATAATTAGCAAAGTTTACATTAGAATCATTCTGATACTTTCGGGAATAAAAGTCTATTTACATGAATCAGGGTAGGTACCGGTGGTAAAATTCTGCGCGTGTTTGTAGAATTTTTCTCTGCGAATACTTCACCGATGATATTAATGGAATGTCTTGAAAAAAAAAACCCTGTAATTTAGTGTAAATGACAATGTAAGCAGCTAGTTCTTAAAACTAATGATTTGAAACTGCCCATAGCATGTCTTTCCTCCTTTTGAAGATTTTTCTTGTTAAGGACAAAACCAGTCTTCAGGCAGACAACGCAAATGTCCAAAGACATCCCTTTAGAAAAATTAGTGTGATGTATTGGACCTACTGAATTCTACTTATCCTCTGGCAAACTTCCCACAAGTTTTGGTTCATTGGCTGGGGTTTTTTTGGTGCTAATTTTGACTGGAGTAGATAGAGCTAAACTAGTTGGTTTTGTTCGTATTTCTTTTGTTTCATGTTTCTTTTCTTTGCAAAAGCCTTGGTCAGGATTGAATGCCCATTTGGGGACTTCTGTACTAAGATAGTCCCTATTTCAGAGGTATTTGTTATATTTGCTATCTCCAGTCTTACAGAGACAGCCATTTCCTATGTTTTCTGTGTGTTCATCAAGCCGTAATGAAATTTTATTCACACAGTGGCAGAGGTGGGTTTGAGTGAAAGGACAACGAAGGAAAACCCGTAAATACATAAAGTGGTGAGAAGTCTGCATAATTCTTGTAAAAGGAGTGACCTCACACAGTCATTACATAAAGAGGAGCACAGAGGGATAGGCAGACATTGTTTTTAGTAGGTGTTGCAGTCAAAGAACGAAAACTGGATGTGATTCAGTTTTGCGTTTCTTCAGCTGAAGAAATTGCAAAGGTGGAGGAATGTAGCAGTCATACATTGTGTTTATACAATCTACACTTCTGTTGCTGCTGCAGTGCCTCTGTTCTGTCATTCTGTCTGTTTTTGCAAGCAGCCGTGCCAGAGGAAAGCTTCGCTACCTCTCTGCTGGGAGCCAGCAAGCCTGCAGCTCTGCTGCTGGAAGAGGTTATGTGAGTGCTCCCCGCTCTGCTGAGGCAAAGCTTGCTGGTTTCGCTGAAGGTGACTTGGCTTGACCTGGTCGACTTTTCCTGAAGGCTAAGGAGCGTTCGCACAATCCATTCCTTGCAACAGCAGCTGCAGCAGTTATTTCTAGCTGATGGGCATTGTTGAGCAATCCCTGTCCAGTTCAGAAGAGGGCACTTGTCCACAGTCTGAGTGACTGTTGTGTCCTGATAGCATAAATTCATGAGTTTGAAGATCTTCTTCAGATGTTGTTCAGTGCCGACATCTGCTTCAACCTCAGAGGTCCACATACATACTTGGTTTTACAGACTGTAGTTGAGAATCCTTTTCCACCCCCACTACTAACCTGATTTGTGTCCAAGGCAAGGCAGCATTGCGCCCTGTGGTGCAAAGGCATTCCCGCTTTGTTTTACTGGATTTCAGACAAAGGTAAAGAAAAACTACATGCTGTAAGAGGTCCTCCCAGTTACTTCACTTGCTAATCTAGCTGTAGATGGTGTCAGCTAAACACTGTCATTGTATTTAATACACTAATTTCAGTAGGGTTTTGGTATGAAATAAAATTTCATAACTGGGCCCTTGGGGTTAATCAAAGTAGTAGAGTAGTGGTGCAGTGTAAGAAGATTTTACACATCTGATTTTTATTTGCATTTTTAATATACTTTGCCTCTCTCAAGGTCTTAAGCACAAATTTAAAATTTCAGGCAATACAAAGGTGCTTCTGCTAACATTAACTTGATGATAACTCATGATATATTTCTGTCAAGACCAAATGTCAGGTATTCTGTATCTTTTACTGTCCTTCTTTATATGATCACTTCTGGTATGATTTATGTTGGTGCTTGACTCCTGCAGGTAGGTTTGCAGAGCCTTTCAACACTGATGATTTAAATGTATATTCTTCTCCTAGACCATCATCTGCAAACAGCATAAACAGCAACAGTTCTTCAAACCACAGTGGGTATGTACCAGAACTGCCACTGCCTTCCATGGGAGGAGATTTAACAAGCAGATTGTCCAGTGATGAAGGAGAAGCGGATGGAGCTGAAGAATCTGAGAAATTAGACTGTCATTTTTCTGGACACCATCCCAGACCTCTTGGGGTATGTGTCTGTCTCTGGCATGCCTTGCCATTATTCTTATATAATGAGAGAGGGGAGAAAAATGAAGTAATTTAGTAAAAATGTGAGGAATGAGGACCTTATGTTCTGAAAACTGTATTCCAAAGACAACAAATGCATTTGACAGAAAATGGTACGGATGGGATGAAGTAGGAAGAGAAGACCGGTCAGTGCATGTGACAAACATTGCTAGGTTGCAGGACAGGATGAGCAGCAGAAAATCAGAAGTTTTAGCGTTAGATTTTCCTCTCAGTAGACTGAAACTTGTGTTTAATTCTGCTAAACTGAGAAAAGTTGCATTGTTTTAAATGAGATATGAACAGATAATATCTTTGTTGTCATAGTTCTTATGAAACTGTACTTTGCAATTGGTTATAGTTCTGAAAATCAGATGGCAGCAAAGGCTGCTACAGTGCTTCATTGATTTTTGTAGTCTGGATTGAAGCAGTAATTAAATACCATTTATGTGAGTGTATGTGGACTTATGAGCTATTTCTTCGTTCATCTAAAAATGGAAGGTCTAGAGCATGGCCTAGCCCATCTGCTCTGGTGGTGGCTTAAGTATGTGCTTCTCTAGCGGCTGTTTTGTCTTTCTCCCATGTTAGTGAGAAATTTCATCGTAAGTATTAAGAGCTGCCATGTGGCATTACCTCTGCGGTGTGAATTTGTTCACACTGTACAAATGAACAAGCAATGGGAGAACTCTCGAACTTCTAAGCAGTTGGTTCTCATCAAAATTGAGCCAAGGAATAAAATTAATGAAGACTTCACTTATGTGTTCTCCATATGATATGCAGAAGACAACAAACGCTGTGATAACTGTAGCATTGTCTATATTCCCTAGAGCAAAGGAGAACTTGTTACTGTCGGACACCAGGAAAAAGTATGAGCTGAACATAAAATGACTGTCAGATGAAATTCTGTATTTGGTTCTTACACAGAAGATATAAGAATCATTTTAGTTTATATAATACTGTGACATGCAGTAACCTCTTGCTTCCTTGGTACTCTCGTATTCTGCTCGTATTTGCTGGATGCTTCTCTGTGAATTAAAAACTAAATGTTCACTGCATGTCTGTCCACACAATTTAAAAAATAATTTAAGTGCAGCCAGTTCTTGTGCAGGCGGCATCAGTGAGTCGTGGCTGTCAATAGCCATTTTGGTTTAGGATCCTAGTTCTGTTTCAAGGCAAAACCCACTGACTCATCTGTTCTTCAAAATCTTAGCATCTCCCAACTGAAGCGGTTACTGACAGTGCGACTGTTCTTAGTCCATATCAAGGTGAAGTCAGAAAAGATGGTGTGAATCGCCTTCAGCACAGTTCATGCTAACTTGCTAAATTTCATATTGAAGTGGACTGTTTTCCTTACCTGGTCCTCTCCCAGCTAGGGGGTAGTAATTGACAGGGAAAAGGCAGTAGCTTTGTAGACTACCTCTTAGTGATAACTGATCTGTATAACTGGGAGGTGAGGCTAGTTTATTAACGTAGGTGGTGGTTTTAATTAACCTGTTTAACCTTGTCATGAAACAGACAAGGTAAACAGTTACAGTCACCACTCGCTGTCCATTAAGCTGAAAAGTACTTTAAACAGATGCTCTCCTACTGTATCAGTAGCTTCTGCTTTCAGCCAGAATTTGTGTGACTTGATCCCTGCATGATGGAGGGTTGTCTTGTTTTCTGAGGATGATTTATAATGGGTTTCTCTCCCACAGATAGGTGTTGTGGCAGTTCTCTACGTAATGTGAGATCAGTAAGACTGAACTGAAGAAAGGGTAGATTCCCAGTCATACCATTTCAGTGTAGTAAGACTTTGCAGGAAGTTCTTCAGAGGAAGCAGTGCAAATACTCCTGAATTCTACAGAATTCCCAAAATATTTACTACTCCTCTAGATGATTTTCGTACACTGTGAAGATTGTAGCTGGTGTTTGGTTGTAGCGCAAGTGCCATGGATGACAATTTATTTTTTTACTGAAATGTCACTGGTTTGTTTGTTTATTAAATAGATACTAAAGATGCTTCCATTGCACTTTTTCCCCTTCAGTTATATTTTTATTCCTGTTACACAATTACAAGATTTAATGTGCACATAACAGTGTAACTGTCATTCCGAGGCAGTAAGAGCATTATTAGCCAGAATTGCTTCCTTAACAGTACCTCAGCATTTGTGTTCTTTCCCTGACACACATAGGTACCTGATAGTAAACTGACGTTGTTAGTGAAGTATGAAGTATACTTTACACTAAGCTGGGACATTATGTACATATTTCATATATCATGCAAAAAGTATTTATGCTGCAGATAGTGAAAAACATCTTTAAAAGGTGCTTTATATGTATGATACAAATCACAAAGGTGTTGCTTGATCTATAAATGATAATTATTTTATAAATGTAGAAATATTTTTTATAAACAATATTGAAATGTCTTTTCTTTCAGTTTTGTTCATATGGCAGTCGCTTAATGGGAAGAGGGTACTATGTCTTTGACAGAAGATGGGACCATTTTCGATTCGCACTAAACTCCATGGTAGAAAAACACTTGAACTCACAGATGTGGAAGTAAGTGGGATTTTTACACTTGGTGGGTAGTTTCAACATTTTTAATTCTGTAGAACTTCTAAATTTAACAGTTCATGGGTAGTGTTTGTAAAATTACCTCTGTGTTAAGTCACAGCAGTAATATGAGTACACTTTTTCTCTTCCCTGTTAAGGAATATGCAGCACAACAGAACAATCTCCTATTCTGATGTAATTTTCTGCCAGATTTAGGACTTTTTTTTAGTCCCTCTGAATCTAGGGAGGAATAATTGAGTAGTTCTGTTAACATTACTTAAAAGTATTAAAGCTCGATGTTTTCTGGGTTTGGAGATAAGTTTTGATATCTTAGCATTTTGTAACACACAGGTTAGATTTTGCCTAGATTTTTATAACTGCATCATGCACCCATATCACCCATTCAGATTTTGCTCTGTAAGACACGTGTTGTAAGATAAGGAACTTGGTACACGTTTGCCTGTGTGTAAGATGGAATATAATAGGTTTTTTAGACCATAGTGCCCTTTACTGGCTTTGGGGTCTTAAAATTCTGATTATTACTCAGTATTGAAGCACCTCTATATCACGTATCCAGGTTCCAAGCACTATAAGCTTTGTTACATAGATACACTAAAATAGACTGCACTTCTAAAAAAGATGCTAATTTTGAAAAGCTTGTGGCATCTGCAGGTAGGGTTGATTTTTTGGGGGTATTCTGCTACAGAACATGCATTCTTCTTCCAATGTAATGACACTAAAGCACAGTGTTTCATGTCGCTGTTTATTATCAGGACTGTGTTATATTCATTGGATACCAGCCATTAGATAAACAAGGTTTGATTTTTATTTAAGTATATTTTTGAAACACTAAAGCTTGGCTTGTCTGACTAACCTGGTAACTTGATGATAACAGTGCTACTGTGCTGGGAGACATAGCTTGGAAACGGTTGGGTTTGCCATAAAAGGGCCGGTTTCATGTCTGTTCAGAGACAGACCACACTTGATCTGCAAAGGGTTCCTCTCTTCTACTTAGTAAATTTGGCTGTTAACTAGTGTCTATCTCCTTCCACAAATAAAACTAATTTGGTTTCTTTAAATAGGAAGATTAAAACCTGTTATCTATTGGCTTTGTTTGTCAGGAGAAAAGACACTTGGGCATCTGCGAAAATGTGTCACTAGTACCACTACTATCATGAAAACCAAAAATTATCTCTATAGTAGTTATATGATACAAGAAATAAACAGGCCTCATCCTGCTCCCGCTAAATCCAATTGTAAATGTTTTCCCAAATTCTAGCTGTTTATGTAATCTCTAATGTTTTAATAAATTCCATCCATACTTACTTTTCTGTATAACACAGGAAGCTCACAGTGCTTAACCCCTGTTGTATTCTTCTCTTGTCCTCAACCCTCCTCTGGACTGATCTTTGCCTGTCTTCCCCAAGCAGGGGTATGCATAAAGCTGGTATTTTATAGCTGGTGCTAATGCAGCTCTGTCGCAGTGGCTAAAGGTACAGGGATGCCAGGCCATATTTTGAGAACAATAATAACGTTTACAAAGGACTATTTTTATCCCTAGTTCTCAAGGTACTTTACAAAGGTGGGTAAGAATTATTCACCCTTCTTTAAAAATAAACTGAGGAGCAGCTCTGATAAGCAGCTTTGTTCGTGTAGCAAGTCACAGGCAGTAGGACTTCCTCATTTCTGGCGGCATGGACTGTGTGTAATGCCTTATGTAATTGTGCCATAAACAGTGTTCCGTCTGACAGTCTCCATAGAAGGAATACCAGGAGAGAACACTTGTAATTAGGATTTGATTTATGATAAAACAGCACACCCAGTGCTGCTCTTTTATCATATTTCTTTGAGGGCCAGAGTAAGCCTTTAAAAACTGAAAAGGTGTCAGTAGTGAGGATAACAAGGGCAAAGTTACGGGGATGTACAAGTTCTTAACAAAGAGAAATAGAATTAGACTGTGAATTAAATTTTAGTCTAAATAATGAGAAAAGATCACATGATGATTTTGCAAGAGACATTATGGAAGTCTGGCTCTTTGTTAACGCTGGACTAGGTAAAATAATAGAAGACGGTGGCTGAATAGAAAGGAATTTGAATACATTCTATGAATTTCAGAGGTAATGTTAAGTCTTATTCTCAGAATAGTATTCAACTAGTTATAAAGCTTATCAAGCATTGTTTAATATTTTGTCAATTTTTCAATATCAGTGAAATTAATCATTGACTTACCTAGTTAATCCTCTCTAACCAGCTCTCAAATGAGCTCTCGGGAACAGCACTGCACTGGGAATGGGATGAGCTTTACCCCTTTCCTCTTTAAGCTCAGTGATTAAGTGCTTTACAGCCCCCCAGGCTGGCTCATTCACTGCCCTCATCAAACCTAACCTCTGAGTTCAGGTTGATATTGAAACTGTTCCACAAGTTGAACTTTCAAGCAAAACATTTGCAATGAGTGAAACACGGTGACTAGAATGTTTATAGATCCCACCTCAGACATTCTATTTGCATTTTTTAATTGTTTGGTAAAATAGGAGAGGAAAAAAGGAAATTAAACTTGTGAAAAGTGATCGAATTGTAATACTATGTACTTAATTGCTACATGGGGCACTTGCGGTGAAGTGGAGCTCAGTTCTGGTTTAACCGAGTTGCACAGTTTAGGGCTCATGTGCCACGACAGAATTTTCTAGGGAAAATTGCGCTGTATAGTTCTTTACCTAATCATCTTCTGTTGGGTCTCCGCTGCCTCCACAGATTTAATGTGCCTCATTTCAAAATTAATTTTTAGGAAAATATACTTCATCATCCAGCTCTCCCGAATCTCTGCAATATTAAAACACATGTGGTTTGGGTTTTGTTGTTTGTATTAAATCCCAAAGACCCTCATAATGGAATTGCGAGTTTAAAGAGAGGAAAAAAAAATCAGAAGTAATAACGTTTTTAAGCTGTTGCAGAATGCGGAGCTGATTTTGAACTGTGAATATTAAAATATGTGATTGGTAAACAGGAATCAAAATTAGAATTAACTAGGTTTGCCTTTTTTAATAAGTTGGTCCTTCCCAGAAATCATTTCCTATTGGCATTGTTTGGATGGAATTTTTTATGTATCTAAAATGTTCTTTTTTTTTTTCTCTTTATTTAGGAAAATTCCTCCTGCGGCAGATAGTCCCATGCCTTCTCCAGCAGCACATGTCTCCAATCCTTTTCCAGCATCAGTCTTACAGCCTTTCAGCAACCCCAGTGCGGTGTATATTCCTTCAACACCTATCAGTTCAAGAATCTCTTCTTCTTCTTACATAATGACATCAGCCATGTTATCAAATGCAGCCTTTGTGACAACGTCAGATACGAATTCCATTATGTCACACACTACAGCTTTTCCTCATGTGGCTGCAAGCCTAAGTATCATGGACTCAACTTTTAAGGCGCCATCAGCTGTGTCACCAGTGCCAGCAGTCATTCCTTCCCCATCCCACAAGCCATCCAAAACAAAAACCAGCAAATCCTCAAAAGTGAAAGACCTGTCATCTCGGAGTGATGAGTCTTCAAGTAATAAAAAGAAAAAGCCGCAGTCGTCATCATCATCGTCGTCATCATCCTCATTATCTTTGCAGACATCTTCCTCGTCTTCATTTTCAGGGTCCCACAAAAAGAACTGTGTCCTGAACCCCAGTTCAACTTTGAACTCCTATCAGGCTACATCTTCCTATAACAGCATGTCTGTGCACAATACCAATAACGGAACAAGCCCACTCAGTGCCAAATCGGAGCCCTCAGGACGGACTTCATTATCAAGTAGTTCAACAGACTCAGTGAAACATATGAGCATGGTAGTAAGCAGTATTGACTCTTCTAATCTGTCTGTATCTTCTCTTGTGCACCACTCAGGGGACCACTCCCTGGGAGCACACAATGCAGTGTCTTCTCTACCCCTTTCTTTTGACAAATCAGAAGGAAAAAAACGTAAAAACTCTAGTTCTAGTAGCAAAGCCTGTAAAATCACTAAAATGCCTGGTATGAATAGTGTTCATAGAAAGAGCACTGCCAACCTTATTTCTGCGGTGCCAGATCCTACAAGCAGCTCCATCTCTCGGCAGGTAAGGGACTCTTCCAGTTATTTTTTTGCAGGTCATGTCTGATTTACTTGAAATATTTCATGCATTCTGGAAATAGTATGTTTGCTTCAGGTTATTTTTCATCACACAGCTTACTTTCTAGGTTAATACAGAAACATTTGTATTTGGTTTTGTACCAATCATAGAAAGATGTTTTGAGAGTTAAAAACAATACATATATATCTACTTTCTTAAAATATTTTTATGAGGTTTTTAATTCAATTAACAAAGTAGCAATTTGTATTTCTGAAGGTAAAATTGAATGTCCAGAATGGAAAAATAATTTTTAGAAATTAATTTTTTATCTTAATTCTCATCTCTCTGAAATAAATTGTGTCATTAAAACAAGAAGATAAGAGTCAGCATTTCCGTTTGTTTCTTTCCCCAAACTTGTTGCTGATTCATTTCTTAATGTTATGCAAGTCTTCTCATTTCTCTTATGTAAAACGCTTACATCTACCTTTCCCCTGGGGAGAGTCTGAGACACCTGACCTCAGATGCTGTTTCCTGTTTAACTGGAAAAATTAAGAAATTAAGATCTTAACCAGATGACCTTTAGTGGACATTTGATTATCTTCTTCAGTGTGCCTGTGTTCAGAATATTGAAGTCAGTGCAACAGATACGGTTACACACTTACTGCATTGTCACTAGCAATAGAGCTTTGACTTCTCTTTCAGTGATGCTATATAGGAACTAAAGTATATGTGAATTAAAATTTGGTGGAAAAACTGCCAATACAATCTTTGTAATGATCTACTGTTTCATTCTGCTACTGTGTCCAGTGCTGTGCAGTCTGGAAGGCTCTTGGGTCTGGCGTTTGGAAGACAAAACCATAGAAAATAGCATACCTCAGAAAATCCAGAGAAGGTAGCTTAGGGAATTTTATTATTTTTTTTTGTTATGAAACTCTCATTTCCTAACAATATTGCATGTAAAATGGAGTTTGGAAATTAAGAGAGTGAGATCTTGGGCAAAGAAGTCCATAGGTAATAGCAGACAGAAATGGGAGTGGAAGAAAGGAATAAATGAATTCTAAAACTGGTATAGCTGACAGAACGAAGGTCTCAAAGAATGGCTCAGCAGGTATATTTTCTCTTTCCTACTTCCAGCAGAGGTGCAACTGAGATGACTTGTTTGGCTTTTAAAAAAATGAGTAGTGGCATTGTCTTTTTATTTTAAGCCTTTTAAATGTGTCCTGCAATCAGAACTAATCTTTAAGTCACTGAAGTCAGTGGAGGATGCTGTAAATTCTTCATTCTGTCACACGTCTGATTTTTGAAATACATGTGTACCCAAAAAGATTAAATTGCCCTGAGATATATGATCTCAAATGGGAAGAAAGTAAGTACAAATTGTTACTTTGGTACAAACATCGGTAGTAGGAAATGGATTGTATGGTCTTTTGATAGTACATAGGCTGTATCTGTAGCTAGTACAGTCTGAGGAAGTCTTACACGCAGGAGGTTCCAAGTTCAAATTCTGACTCCCCTAGTGATTATATCTGTTCCTGTGGGACATTCCTGTTCCCGGTTGTAATGTATTTCAGCATGTTGCGTGGTAATGGAAGAAAATAAACCACAAAGAATCAATCAGAAGTCTTTTTTAAATATCTGTAAATATGTAGTTCACACGAATATTTTTTTCCTTAAGTAAAAAGTTAAATATATGTAGTGAGTGGAATGATGTACAGATTTTTAAACATAATGGTTTTTTATACGTGTATAAGCATGTACACATATATATGTATAAATGCATATATGTGTGTCTAGGTATGTAAAAGTTGGTCACACTTTCCTCTTATACTGCTGATCTTTGGAGCTACACTAGTAATCAAAAATAGGAGGTAAAGTGGAGTTCATTGTATTTCAGATGTCTGGATGGCAGCTCATTGTGACAAAGACACTGAATTGTATGCAATACAAAATAGTCTTTTCCTATTGTTTATTTGTGCTATAAATAAATGAAATTTGTACCCACTTAAGCATATGGGGCAAATAATATTTACGTACTCTACACGTGAATATTGAAGCTCTGGAGGATACAATACTTGAAATCACATTTAAGCTGTGCTGGTTTGACTTGCTGTGTTCTAGGAATGCAATCATAGTAAAAATTCCACCAAAAAAAATCAGTATTACTTAAAAAAAATCTCGCTCCTGTTCCCTGATGTAATAGGACAAATCAAATTAAGAGATTAAGAGCACAGAAGAAAGATCAAGTAACTGGTGATAGGCTCAGGTTGTTTTTTTTTTCTAATTTAATTCCAGTCTGGCCTGGATAGATAGTAACTGGAAGTGTTAACTGTTGGGTTTTGAAGTATATTTTATTTTTAAAGAGACAAAAAAAAAAAAAAAACAAAAACGATTTGAGTCTTGGCCTAACGCTAATCCTTTTGAAATGGTGTTCCCATCATTAAAGACCCAACACAACTGGGAATCTTTCTTATTTTCGCTGAGTGCTGTAACTTTTCAGTCTGTCTGAATTACCCTTCTGTGCTGGAGTGCTGCCCTGCCCGCTCTGAGTGACGGCAGGAGGGCAAAGCAGCTCAAAGCCGGCCGCAGGGCTGCAGGCTGTGTTGCTTCTTGCTTTGTCTTACGTAGGGAGTCTGTTAGTTGTAGGAGCACTGAATGAATGAAAGCCTAAAGAGGTGTAATATTCCCTCTCATGATTCTAGAATCTCAGCAAGTCAATTTCCTCGTGGTTGTTCTTCCATTTAAAATATGGACATGTATTTTATTATGGAAGGCTTCTATGAATGTTATAGTAGTGGATGTAGAGAAGAAAGGTTTGCAGGTGTGTCATGATGTTCTGAATGGCTAGGAACGATTTTACAAGGTTGTGTATTTTTATTCAAGATTTGTATATGGAAGAAAAGCACATTACTACCTAGAGAACAGCTGTGGCATGCAAAACAACAAGCCAAAGGGAACAAGACAGGCAGAGCCTACCCTTTTTAATCTTTGTGTACCATGGGAGCAGACTTCAGAATTAGCTGTAAATAAAAACTTGAAACATTTCTTCTGGATAGAATGTGACCAGAGAGCACTGTTATAAACAGTCACTGTGTCAGAAAGGGCAGATACGGAGAGAAAGACAAAAGCTACCTTTCACTGTATACATGAAATGGCGAAATAACAAGTGATGTTGCAGAAGGGAAGGAGAAAACTGATGTTGGTGAAAGCCCTGCCAGCCAACGCCACAGTCCCATCTATTCAGTAACAAACTTGCAACTGCATTTCTCACTGTTTAGAAGACAGGTCCTTACGACCTCTCCATCAAATGATCAAAGTTGATGTTACTTGAAGTCCATTGACCATGTGAGTAACTATTCAAACTCCAGTCATCTGCCGTTTGTTGGCAGGTGTCCATGGTTTTTACCAGCCTTGTAACCGGTGAGGAACTACTCCTCTCACTCAACAGCTGTCTCCCCTTTTGTGTTGCAACAGAAATATCTACACTATGTTTATGGGTCACTGTAGAAAAACCCAAGACAGACTGCTCTTGCCAAGTGCTGTAATCACTCAAGCACTGAAATATGCAGATTGAATATTGCAATATTTTAACTAAATACTTTTGAAATGTATGTATGTGTACTATTGATCTTGCGCTGATTCCCAAAGAAATTATCTGATGCAGTAAACTGATACAATTGCAAATTTAAACCTTTGGAGTTTGATTCTTCTGGTTAATATTTGCTTTATTGAGCAGTAATAAATGAAGACTCTATATGGAAGAAGATGGAATAACTTAGGGCATGCTATGGTGCTTTGCCACTTGCTTTAAACTCCCCAGGAATGGGGAAGGTCCCCTGGGGAGGAGTCTGGGACCCTGAACACTCTGTGTGCTCTCAGTTGCTGACGAGCTACACCAAGTGACTCCAGTAACTACAGAAACTAGTGTTTCGGTCTAGAGAGGAAGGGTTTTACAATCTATATTCCCTCGATAACTGTTTCTTATGTTGTTTTCTGACCTGTAATAGTATTTATGTGCCTTTTAAGAGTTTATTTAAAGTATACAGGTTCTGAGAGATAATTATGATTCTATCTTTTGCAAAATACCTGTGTTCCAAATGCAAAGCAATTAGTGCCACTTTACACAGGAAAGGGAAGGCCATTACCAGCATCTGCATTCAACTGACAAATATGCCTCTCAATGCTGCTCAATTAATGTCTTTCAGATTGGAAAAAATAGCAGTGTAGCTTTGTCACAATCCAGTCCTTCGAGTACATCAAACCCCGTACACAACAGACAAGTAAGTTGCTTTAAAAAAAAGTGTATTTAAGTAGTCTGTAAGTGGTTTTGAAATATTTTATACTGTAAAACCTTAAAATACCATTTCTTTATGAATACAATTCTTTATAGAAGCTGCCTTTCGGTGAACTAATTTTAGATTTCTCCTCTTACTTATTTTTTTTCCAGCTGTTTTTCCCTCTGAGATTTATGAATAACAAGTTTTCTGCTTGTTTTTCACCACCTGTAATATGCCTCAGGTTGGCTTATGTGCTGCTCACTGGCTGCTGCTTTGGTGTTACAAACTCAGCAGCAGCCGAAACTGCCTGTGCAGGATCCAGCTACACTGACGTGGTTCTTCTATCCAACTTCCTCTGCTGAGCGAGATGGCACAGCACAGAACTAGCATAGAAGGGACAACATTTGAAAATAGGCCAGAAGTGAAAGCAGCAAAGGGAGGACAGAAACAGGTCAGAGAAGACAGGACACTTGGCCATTCAGAGAAACTAATCTGAAAGCATAACTAAGCTAAGCATAATCTGAGTTCTTCGTAGACTGTGAGAAATCCTTAGTGCTGCCGCCAAACCTGTTTATCACACAGACTGCTAGTCAGATAATTATAATAAATTCTGTAACTCAGCTGTTTTGTGAGGACATGTGCGTGACCTGTGATCCAGCCCTCATCTGTCTGGAGGACTGATAGACTAGTTTTTTTAATATGGCCCTTACTGTTTTGACTCTCCAAGTTGAGTAGTTCATCAAGAATTCATCATCAAGTTCCTTAGTATGAAAAGGTTTCCCCACCTCAGCAAGGTGTAGTCACAAGTAAACAAAAATTCCAGAGGATTTTTCTGCACAACCAGTCAGTGTATTAGAATTCTGTTATATATTCTGGCTAAATTATACAGGAGTAGTTATTCCGAATGGATGTGCTGCTCCGTTTCTGCTGTGTAGACAGAGCAAAAGAATAGCAATGATTGTAGTAATAATCCAGACTGTATCCCCATTAAAAATATTCTGAATCACTCACTCTTGAGATGGACTGCCAAACAGTATTTTTTTTTTTTTTCTGCTGGTGCTGAATGCAAAGCAGTATACATAGGAAGAACTAATCTGCAGGGAAAAAAAGTAGAAAGTTTTTTCATACTTCTAGGGAGTGGTATTTTCCCGAGTGAGACACTGTCATCCAAGTGCCAGTAACAAACACGGGATAAAGCCTTTCTGAAGTGCAAAACTGTTTTTGCTTTAACCTCCTGCTCTTGTGTTATTACAAAATACGCACTACCCGAGGAGCAGAGCTTGTTGGGATCTGTTGCCTAGATCCCATGGGGAAAACCTAACAGAACAAAACATTAATTTTGTGGCAGCCTTATGTAAACAGAGGCTATTGCTCAGCTTTTCAGCTGCTTGTTTCCGTAACTTTATCAAAAATAGAAGTGTTTGCTTGTTTTAAGTCCCACAAACTTTATTGTTAAAAATATATTTCTGTCAGTTTGTTAGTTGAATATGGAGCTCAGAATACAGTTACAGAAGAAAATGAAGATGTATTAAGTTTTATTAAACTTTTATTTTTTAACTCTAACACAGGATTTTAGTATTTGGAAGCATGAATGATTACCTATCTGACAAATGCTTGTCACTGTCAAAATACATCTGAGCTGCTGTGTTGACAGTTTTCCTTTCCAATCCAGCAACTGAATAGTCTCTAAATAAAATTTTAGTCTTAAACTGTGCTATAATATTTCTTTATAAAGGTGCTATTAATTAGGTAACTATAAGTGGATCTGCAAGTATATGCTTGTCAGTAACAGTATTACCGGGGGACCTGATCTCTCTTGGTTTTAACGTTAGTGTTGTTATAACCACATGATAATCAGGGGGTCCACGTGAAGCAAGGTCTGTAGGCAGAGACAATCTCTGCTATACACTGGGGCTTACAGTTGGAAAAAACAGGCAAGTTTTCACAAATACAAGTCAGAACAAGAGACTTTCAACAGTGCAGTTTGAAGTTGAAGTGCAGCCGTCAAGGTAAATGTGAGCATAGAGCAGTTACTCTGGACTGCCTCCGCAGTGTGACCTGGTCAGGCAGCCTGCTGGGCTTGCCTGCTGGTGCAGGGAGGAAATTAGAAGGGAGAAGATTGCTCTTGTTTCTCAAGAGAAGGGAGAGTGGTCCTTAACTCAACACGGGGGTGAGTGACTGGTGAGAATGAGGCATTTGGGAAATTGCAGTAGGCTGTAAAACCAGTCTCGTTTGAACCCGTGGCCGCCTGCATGCAGTCCTAGTGAGAAGGCTAGCTTCCCTCCTCACCTTCCGAAGGTGTCCATTCAGAGCTGAGAGGACATGCGGCAGTGCTGTGAAAGTCACCTGCCACCAATAACTGGGTGTTTCTCATTATTGAGTTGTGAGATAAAGGTGCCCTGTGGTTGTTTTGATTTCACACAAGTAGTTTCTTTCAGTTATTTGCTATGTTCATTGAAGTACGCTGTACTCTTGGGTACTCCTGGGGGGAGGACTGGTAGTGGTGAGGATAACTGTTGTGGGCCTGTCTGCTCTCTCCTCTCGCATTAAACTCAGTCAGGCTAAGCTCAGATGAATTGTTCTCAATTCATGTTTAATTTGAATGTTGCTGCATCTATTTCAGACCTGAACAGGGGCTTGTATACGTAAAAGCATGCCTGTTTTTCCAACTGTTGTTGTTTAATAAAAAAATACTACTTTTCCCTCCAAATTTCCCTACAAAACCCACTTGGTTTTTAACAAACATTAATGAAATACTAGTTCTACAGTTAAATTATTTGTGCCTGTTAATAGAAAATTATGTCTTGAAAGCTTGTTTTCTCCAGATTTTATCCTTGTTCTAGGTTTATAACTAATCAAGTGTTTTTGTCTTCATAGTGCTTTTAGGTGCCTGAATGTGTTAACCCTTCAAGACCTCAGTATGCCGTGGTTTTTAAATACTGAGTAACTAAATCATTTTATTAAGGGAAGGTGACAACGTGTATGCTGTGTGGGGATCCCTTGTGCATGAAAACATGTTGTGTAGAGGAAAAGATTCTTCAGAGTTGTCGTCTAATTGCTGCTCTTTATTTGTAATGATATACCAAGTTAATGAACGTGAGATTCACCAAAGCTTACTAGATTCAGAGAGTCCCAAAAGGAAATACGCTGTTTATTCAAAGCAGTTCCTTTTCTTAAAGGTCTAATGTAATCAGTAAACAGGGAGGGAATGTAGTTCAGGGACTTGAAATAAATTCCTGTTTTGAGTTCTGTCAGACGCAGATGTTATTAAAGTATTGTTTACTGAAAGACATTTTGTGATTTTTGAACCTGGCTCTGGTTTCTCTTTTAGAAGACATCAAACCGGACTGGTAGAATAAGGACTCTTCCATAACAAGGAAAAGGAATCAGCCTATAATCTCTAGCTCTCAGCAGCCCTACTCCACAGGGTTTTTCTTTTCTATGTCCTGCAGATGGATTTAACCTTTTATGAATTTGTGGTTTTAAAGAGAATTAAATTTACAGAAAACTGTAATAGTGATTTGTTTAGTTTTTCACTTGTATTTGCCACTGATCTGTGCGTTCTGCTTGGTTATGTTTCATGCCTTTTAAAGCTGTTAGCGTTGCAATGCTCCCTTTGTTTCCTTACCAGAACACAGTGGACATTCCAAAAAAAATCCAGATCATGATTTGAATTTATTTAGAGGATCTCAAAATTTTTTCATTAAATAAAAATTACAGTAATTCTGTATTTAAGCTTGTCCTATGGATAAAAATTGAGTGCATTTCTTAGTAATTTGCAAACAGCTGGGGCACTGCAACTTTAGGGACTAATCCTGACTGGTGCTCTGTACCTACAGCATTTAATGATTTCAGTGGGAATTCTGAGTGTTCAGCCTCTTCCAGGATCAGGCTTTTAAGGAATCTATACTTCAATCAATGCATAGAGGATTTTTGCACCAAACTGTAGTTAATGTTATCAGGGGCTCAACATGCAAAATCCCCAGATCTTGGTGGATTTCTAGACACTTAAGATCGTAGCACTTGATAACTTCAGTAAACAGTTTGGGTTTGCAAGGACAGGAGTTGAGCAGATTGGCTTGCGTTAATAGAATTGCACTGACAGTGTTTCTTATAGGATTACTGAATAATTTTTTAATAAAATATAGATTTTTATAATCAGGAAGCCAATACTAGGTACTGGAACAATAGTACAGAGGAGTTAATTTTTATTTCTACAGTGTTAAAAGTGCACTTATATGCTGGTTTATTTACATCTTGGGGAAAGGCGAGAGACTGCAAATAGGGAGATTATTACTACTTTCTTTTTTAAAAAAAGAAGGCTTAAGGCAAATTTTAAGACTAAAAATGTTTAAGCAATTATAAACAAGGCTAGACCCTTTGAAAAAAGTTTAGAAATATTCTTAAAATAAATTTTTATAGTGTTAATTTTGTAATAATTTATGTTTTGCTATACTTCAGAGCTAACTGACCGGTATAGTTTCAGAAACAGTATGAAACTTAGGAAAGTTTAAGCAATGTTTATATTTTTAAAATGTTCTTTGAATTATGTTTTTATTGTACATTTCTTCAGACTGAAAAATGTGTACATATCTTTGTTATTTTTGCACAATTTTTGTCTTGTTCAGTTTTAGGAGCAGTACTATGTTGATTTTTTTAATTTATTTTGAGTTATAAAACTGCAGGAGTTTAAAAATCTCAGTAACAAAGTCATCCTCTGTAATCAATGAACTGCTATTTCTAGTCGTTGAGGGAAAACAGTGGTTGTGAGATTCAGTGGTTGCTTCTGAGACATAATGCTAATCAATGACTGAAGGAGCAATTTTGTAGTTTAAGGAAGCTTTAGCTCTTTCCATGCATCTTTTAATTGGAAAGCTGGAATATGGAGCCTGTCCTTTGAATGCTGCTTAAATTTTTTTTCAACTGGCTTACACCTGACAGCATTTCAGGAAAGTTAAGCACCAAGTAAAATCCCACAGTGTTCTTTCATCATTGAAGAATCATGATTTAATTCTATGTGTCAAAAATTTCAGCCTGGAAAGTGAAATGGAAGTCAACATTTGAACAAAATGGATACAAACTGGACCAGCCTATAATGCATTATTAGTGTAGCATTCACTCGGTCGTTTTTTTTCTTCCCCATTTGCCTGAAAATCTTGTGATTTGTTTCCAGCAATAGAGGCTCAGAAGCTTTGGTTGTTACACATACGCAATGCATAGGCCCGTCAGCCATAAAAAGCGACTTGGATAACTTGTATGCCTTCTTTTGTATTGATGTAACAATTGTAAATAGTGCTGATCGACCTTTGTAGAGAATAGTTTATACAGCATATTCTATTATTGCTGATTCTCAGTGAACTATTGTTTTAAAAAAAAGAAGAAAAAAAGAAATTTTTCTATTTACACCTTATATTTTGTTATGCTGTTGACCCATGGCACTTTAACAAAACTCTGTGGGTTTTGCATAGCTGGTCAGTCATGGGATATATTAAATAACTGTTGTTGCACAGAAATGAATTTGCACCTGCTATATTGTGCTTTCCTACTACAGATTTTAGAACCTTTTCCAGAAGACTTTTGAAGAAAGCATGTCCAATCATTCTAAGAAAAAAAATGCCATACTTGTACAGCCAATTTCTTTTCTACAATCCATATTTTGTAACACTAAGTATTTTCATTCTTTGTCCTGCACCTTTATGTATTAGCAGTATCAAATAGAATTCATTCCATGCTTGTGATAATTGTAAGCAGAATAAATGTCTAAAGTAGGTGTAAATAGTAAATTCTATGGCTTACAGTTTAAAAAAGGAAAAACAGAACAAACATGTATCTGATTGATACTGCCATGGTTCAACACCGGGCCTGGAGATATTCTCTAGTGAGCGATTGTATTTTTTGTTTTTTGCTTTATTATTATTATTTTTTTTTTGTAACATGGCTTTGTAAATAAAATAATTTATATGTTTGTAAGAAACAGATGGGTTTTGTCATTATTTATCTCTGCAAAGCAAGAATGGTATGTATTGCGAGACTGTCCTTTTTCTTCCCAGATGCTGAAATATGCTGTGCAGATAGCCAGCACGGACTGGCTGGTTCAAAAGATCTGTACTGGGCTGGATTGCTCTCGGATTATTTTTGGCATTTGTGTCTAAAATATTTCTGTATTTACATGTCAGGACATGTGTGACGATCAGATACTGAGGTTTTTGCTCTGATAAATCATTTTTAAATTCCTTTGCTTAGCTGAATGCATTTTCTCATTCCTTATCAGTGTAAGAATTAACTATGCTTGAGCTGTTAGGTTTAGGAATTCTCGCTTCAGTGGGCAGTACAAATTTATAACCAGTCTTTTTAGCATTGTTAATACTGAGAATGCAACTTTTATCTCGGCGTTAAGAGTCTTGTTCTGTGTAAAGCCTGTTCCAATTACAGATCAAATGAGACTTAAATTGTTCATTGGCTTGTCAGCTCTGCGGAGAGGATTACAGTTTTTTCTCTCGCAGCAAACCTGTTCTGGAAATCTGGGTGAGATGCACATTTTTATGCTTCTTTTATGAAGTATCTGGAAACTCAGTCTTGGAGATACTGCAGGGAAGATGCTCACAATTATGGTATGATCTTTACTAAAAGCAAGAATTTTGGACTGCAAACTGCATTTTTGCATGCGTACGCTCAGAACTGGCAGAGGAGATAGAAAGCTGGCCTGCGTTACAGGAAACAGTAATCAAAGGAGGGAAAATTTACCTTCTAGATAAACAGCTTTTTGTGGAATGTCTTGCATGTTCTGATGCATGTGACAAAATCTAATCCTGAACTTCCTCTTTACTGTCCAATTTGTGTCACGGTAAGAGCTGCTTATATTTTTGAAAACTTTTTTTTAATCTTAGAGTTTATCTTTTCTAGTACAGAAAAACTGAACATCGTGAAGTAACAGTAGATACTGACATCTCATGTGACAGAGTCGTCCCTGTGTATAGCTGAAGAGTGACATTGTGTTTGTAAGATGTTTTGCTGTTTCTAACAGCCATTAAAAATTAAAGCTACAGCCAAGAAAATGGAATATTGCAGCCATGAGCTATCAGTTGCTTGCCATCATTGCCCATGGCCAGCAAAGGCCGAAGACCACTGAATTTCTTTTCAGAATATGACTGAGTCATTTTTTAGCACTTGCAGGTTCATTAAATGATTTACAAGCTGTTGTCTATTTGGACTTCATTTCCCCCACCCTTTTTTTGGTTATGCAACAAGTATTTTACTTGTAGCAGTACTCTTTTTCTTGTATTATCTAACGTGCTCTAAATACCACCAGTTTCAGAGGGAAGCAGATCACACTGTAACTTTTTTATTCATTTCCCTCTAGGTTTTATGCTTCTGTTTTTACCACAGAAATATTTGTTTTTGAAGAAAGTCATTGCTGTCTGCAACCAGTATCTGTTTTACTTTTTCAAATCTGTCAGGATTCACAATTGGAAGAAATGCCAAATACCAATTCCAGAAATATTTGGAGGAGATTCATACAAGAGATTCAGACTTCGGAACACAAGAATGTTTATTTCATGCAAATTTTTATGCTGTTTTGCTCCTTGGGTACCTCTTGAAAGCTACTACTCAAAACAAGTACAGACCTCCTTTAAAACATACTTTCCTTAGTAGAAGAAAGAGAAAGCTGGTAATTCAGCAGCAGGTCCCTGTTTGCCTTTCAAGTGGAGAATCCATGGTAGATGCATGCATATTCTTGTTCTCATTTTGTAATGCATCACAAATGACATGGGCAGCATTCTTTTGTGTGTGGTTTGTTGTTGTTTATGGCTGACCTGCAGAAATATTTAAATCTAGTCTGTGATCTGCTCTCCCCACAGAAGGGAGAAGGGAAGCTTTAGGGAAGCTGTTTAAGGGAAGCTTGCCAGAAATAACAATCAGAATCCAGGAGAACTGGATTTGGGGGTAAGGACATCAGTAGGGATTCAAGACGGTGCACAACATTCAGCTGTCCCGTTGTAGATTTCCCAAACCTGAAAGATTTAGCTCGGAAATGAAATCTGGGTTTGATTAATTTGGAGCAGTTATTTAACAAGGTTGATGTTGACACCACATGAGACTGGCTCTTCAGAAAAGTTGTTTAGTGTGAACAAAGTATATTTACCAAATGCTACAGGTATAAAGGCCTGTTGATGTGAATACAGCGAATGGCCCGATGAAATCCTGACTGCAACCCTGTGAGTCCCATGTCTGTGTCACCTGTTTCCAGCCTGGCCCTTACTGAGGCTCAGGAGGGAATGGTGACACATTAAGTGTCACTGCAGAAGAGAAACCACCATCCCTTCCCAGTGGCAAACGTACTCAGTGCTGGAGAGCTGTGTCGCAGGTGTAGACAGGTCACTGGAAAAGGATTACTCAGGCTCAACCCTTTAGCCTTTCCCACCACAGATACAGAATATATAGGCCTGTAGCCTCAGTTCTGAAGATCCTCTTGACAGCCTATGCAAGAAACTTTCCCTTCTGGTCAGCTCCACTCTTAAATTGCAACTATTTGCCTTCCTTTTTCTTCACTTTTCTCTTATTTTGACCCATAATCGGGGGGGGCGGGGAGGGAGGTTGTATGTTGTGGGCTTTTTTTAAACTTGCCTTCAGTAATTCCTTCCTTGTTAATTCCCTTTAGGATTTGTGTTTGGACCAGATAGCCTGAACAGTAATACCAGCGCACTGGGCTTGCTGCTTTGCTATCAAGGAGACACCAAGAAGGTGCAGAAAGCTGGTTTTCACTTGTGTTATTTTGCAGAGTGCTTCCAAAGCCTACAGCTTCACACCCTGAGCATGGATGCTTCCCAAGAAAGAAAACGTTCAAAGGGAAATGCTCCATTTGTGTGCCTTTCAACCCAGAACAAGCCAAGTGTATGTTTGTTCCTGGTGGAGGTAAAAGACTGTACTGGGCCTTCCATTCCTAACAGACAATTCCCTAATGCCTCTGGTAATTGCCCCTAGAGTATTACTGGACCACTCACTCCCATGACCTCCACTAGTGATCTTCCAATCCCAAACTCCTTTCAGCTGCAGTTGAATGTCAATGAAGCCTGACAGATGCTAGCTTTTCCATCTTAAGCTTCTGTCCAGGGCTTTTGGGCCCAGACTGGCCTTCAAAATCCCTTATGAGGTTGCCAAGAAAGGAGAAGGGAAAAAGAAATTGAAGCACAAAGCGAGTGGGTCAGCACTGTAATGAACCTCTGGCTCCAACTCACCACTTGCCCTGACTTAAGGGGGTATAATAGCAGCCTGACAATACCTATGACGAGGTCACTAGGAGATCAGAGCCAGGATCTTCAATGCTGCACAGTGGGAAGGTGAGAAATAATGTTGATAAAAGGGAGGTTCAGACTGGATACAAAGAAAAACTTCCCTGCCATGGAGACAGTCAAGCATTAGAATGAGTTGCTTAGAGAGGTAGGTGCAATCTCTTGACTTCTGAGGTTTTCAGACTCAAACTGGATAAAGCCCTGAGCAGCCTGGTCTGAGCTCAGAGCTGACTCTGCTTTGAGCAGGAAGCTGGGCTACAGACCTCCTGTCCTGTGATCCAAATGTGAAGAAAGCAATAATGATGACCTAACTCCTCTCTCGAGGACTGATCCTGCAGGGTCATTTTCTTAGAAACACTCCCTAGGGCCTTCTTTGGGGTATTTTCCTAATACCAAACTCTCTTCATTGTTTTGTCTTTGTTATTCATTAACCAACTTTTTTGGTAGCTATAATTCCCACTCAGAGCTGATGACACCCAAGACCTTATCATTGGCCTTTCTCACTCTACTATGTCTTTCCTAGATAGATGTTTCTCTGGAATTTTTCCAAATATCTCCCTGAGATATACCACAGCATTTCCCTTGAATCAGTTTACCTGCTTTATTTCTAAGACAGCACAGAATGAGGCAGAGAAACTACTGTCCACTCTAAGTCTTGTCTTTTTACATTCACAGAACCAAGCACTTCAGATGTTCTCCAGGAATGCTAGTCTTTGTTTTTGAGGAATCATGAACATCTTTACACTAAGGATGGCTAACTATGTAACAGACTAGATGGCATTATTTTCTAAATCTATGTACCAGTAACCAGCACATTCTCTATTATAGCACATGCAGTATTGCAGCTTATATGAAGAGCATGCCTACTCTTGACACCTGTGGGAAACCACCTACATTGACATTCACCTTCATCAAATGTTGATGGATCCAGAAGTGTTGGATTTGGTAGAGCAGTGCTGACATCAGGAAGCGCCCCAAGACATCTTCCTGGTAATTGTGCTTTTACAGGGTACTGACTGAAGGGATGGCTGTTAGAATTGACACGTGGACTAACAGGCAAATACAGGAAAAGACAGAAGTTACTCATCAGCAACTTGAGTCTTTGGAGATGCATAATCCCTAGTTACTTTTGCTTTGTAACTGTATGCCCAGCCTTCCTATTCTTCAAAATGTCTCTTTTTTGGATGGGGGGGTGGGGGAGGGGGTCTGTGTGTCAGAGAAACTAAGGCAATAGAGATGAATCTCTGATCACCACCACCCTGTGTAGTGTGAACTCACTGTGCAGATACTGCCAGAATAAAAGCATCCGTGGTCTTAAGAGCTATGGGCTGAGTCACACTTCAACAGATAAATATACGATGTATCTCATAGAATGAAGGCTCCTGCTAAGTAACTTCTTTTTTCCCTTTGCCCTCTGCAAAAGTGCCACTATAGATCTAGGAAATCAGTTTCTTGGGTATTCAGTCAACTAGGAAGCGGCCAGCTCTATAAGAGAGCTAAGTCTCCTGATACTAAACTAGCCTTTTTGTGGCCAATTTTTACTTTTCTTTGACTCTGAAACAGTAACGAAGTATTTTTCTAATTCCTGGTATTTAATTTTTCTCAGTATATGATTTTTGAGGGCAAGTTTAGACTTTATTTTGCAGTTGACTGGGAAAAAAGACCCCAATACTCACAGCT